GACGAAAGATGTAAATTCTGGATGATTAAGAAATACTTAGTAAATATTCGGTAAAACAGGACGAAAAACCGCAGCCCCACGCTGGTGTGCACGTAAAACATCAAATAGGTGTTCCCCGTGATGCTGCCATAAACAATCTCGATAATTTATTCGCCCCGCCCAACTACCTTACACAAAACAATAAACATACGATTGACAAGTCCAAATATATAGGAAATAGGCGGCCACAAAATATATCTATTAAAAAGGCGTATAGAAATAATTGACGTATAAGTTTCTTCTAATGACTAATTACAAAAACCATTAACTATGCGTAATTAGTTCAAGCCCCATAGTTATTTAAGATATCAATCACTCTGGTGAGCAAATGAAATGAAATGGATTGGGGTTTAACGTCCTACTGTTCTGCTCCCACTGGGCTAATGACGACGGAATTTTAAAATAACTTCATAATATACAAAATATTAATGGTGCTTTGGTGCAGTTTTAATATTGAAATTGACGATTAATGATTCTTGATTTATTTTAGATAACGTCGAGTTAAACAGCTACTGTATCGTTTCTATAAGGATCAAGAACGATTTTTATAAAGATGAACAACAGCTTCTGAAAGAATGGACAACCATTACTATAAGGAAGAACAACTATTACTATAAGGGCGAACAACCATTACTAAAGGAAGAACAGCCACCTCTATAAGAATGAACATTGAACAACCATTACTATAAGGGCGAACAACCATTACTATAAAGACGAACAACCACCTCTATAAGGATGAAAAAACATTACTATAAGGACGAACAACTATTCCTAAAAAGAAGAATAACCACTTCTATAAGGACGAACGACAATTTCTATAAGAATGATCAACCATTTCCATAATTATCAACAACCATTTCTATACGCATCAACAACCATTTCCATAAGCATCAACAACCATTTCTATAAGTATCAACAACAACATCTAGGATGAACAACCACCTCTATAAGGATCAACAATATTTCTATAAGGATCAACAACAATTTCTAGAAGTCCTACCAGCGGTCACCATATAACTGTTTCCGCCTACACTAAGAAAACTACTACCAGTCCTGATTTGATTCTATTATTTAACATTTAGTAACTGTCGACAAAATGACATTTATCTAGTAATTATCTATGTAACCATCTACGGTTTATTAAATATCACACAGGCATTAACCTACAATAATATAGTATGTATTATTATTGTACTCTCTCTCTCTCTCTCTCTTTCTCTCTCAGGCATTAACCTACAATAATATAGTATACAGTATTATACCCCCCCCCTCTCTCTCTCTCTCTCTCTCTCTGGGGATCACGGTGGGTAAGTGAGTAAGACGCTGGCTCGCTAGCATGGAGGTCGCTTGTTCGATCCCTGCATTGGCCGAGAAAGTTCATCCAGATTTTCCGGCGTGGTTTCCCCTTGTCAGTGATGCAAGACGGAAGCCCTGACAAGGACAGCTGTCTAGTCGTTCGTAAAAGATCCCTTGACAGTTGGAATTCGATATATAATGTGAGTAGGCCGTAGTGCCGCTGTACGGGCAAAATTCCCCCATAGCACACTGTATGGCGTTTGCCCGTCTTCATTAGACTAGTTCGGAGCAGCACGTTAAACTCCATTTCTATTCACTCCACTCGATTTATACCCTAGATGACAGCAAATCGATAAAATAGCTCAACTGTAATGATACAAAAGCGCTACGCAAGACATTTTACTCCGCCGACATAAAGAGTTAGCCAGAGACATCTGTCACCAGCCTGTTCGGTATGACAATAAAAATGGTAATCGGTACAAACTAAATAGGCAAACTATTTGTAAAGACCTATTCTGATTGTCACGTTACATGGTATAAACTTCTTATGTAAAATGTGTTGAAATATTTAACAAGATCTTGTGGGAGATGTTTTCTAGATTGTTGATATAAAATAAAACACATCTGTTCAGCAGATGTAAGAAAACTGTTCGGTGATATAATATATACATACAAGAATAGTCTTTAATAATTGCTTTAAACGTTTTAGGTATGCCATTATACATCGTTATACAATAGAATATTAACAAAGTGGTCCCAGTTTCTAGCCCGCTGTTGATCGAGAAAGTTCAAGTGTGGTTTCCATTTGTGAGTGGGTGCAGGAGAGTGTCTAGTCCTTCGGATAGGACGAAAAACGTTGGCTTGCACGTAAAAGTACCCTTGGAAGTTGGAATTCGAAATAAGGTAAAATTTCCCTCATAGCACACTGTATGGCGTACGCCCGTCTTCATTAGCCTAGGACGTTAAACCCCATTTCATTTCATTATGTTATACTGGGAGAGAGAACGGGAGCGAGAGAGAGAGAAAGGGAAAGGATGGGGGGGGGACTTTAGCAGTAGGAGGAAACCGGAGGACCCGGAGAAAACCCACGCGGTTGGACAGGCGTACACGTAAAAGAACTGTTGACGGATAGGCGGATATGTCGCTGTAGAGTTGAAATTCACCTCATAGTACACTGCAAGGTGTAATCACGACTTCATTAGAAAGATTACTGGAGAAAGGTAAACACACATCAACAGGTGATCTTTGAAATGACATCGTGAGTATGGTATAATTACTGCTATCATTTATTTTAAATGGTTAAAGTGACAAGTCATTAACCAGCTGTTAATTAGTGAATAATATGCATGTTATTCTACAAATTCTGGTAGGCCTACTTATTCTTGTGAATGTCCGTTTTTCACAACTCTCTATAGCAGGGGTGTCAAATATGCGACCCGAGGGCCAGATCAGGCTCGCCAAGGGGGTTAAATGTGGCTCGTGCATGGAACAAATTTCAGCGACCCAAGGCTCAGATCAGGCGCACCAAGGGGTTTAAATGTGGCTCGTGCATGGAAAAAATTTCAGCAAACTGTGTAAATTATGTGTGGTGCAGTCCCCCTGCACTTACTATTAGAATTAGAAACTAGCGGTGAAAATCATTATGTTTTCCGGTTTCAGTAAAACTCTGACTTCTGTACTTGTGTCATAGATATCTAAGTTGTATGTAATACAAGAGACCAGTGTATTCAATATCCAAGTATTTTAATACGTAACTATAGTATAAATCAATGAAAGCTTTCTTTATCTTGATACTATAGTTGTGTATATTTCCCTGCAACGTTACTTGCAGTAAAACAAACGGTACCCAAATTAATTTGAGAGAGAGATTTTATTTTAGTAAGTCGCAAGCGCGTAGGGGTCTTAAGCAATGGGGGGAAACCGGAGAAAACCCACGAGGTTGGACAGGCAACCCTACGCGCAACCGAATTATTGAAATAAAATTGAACCATATGTTAGTCCCGAAATGACCTAGTTTGTGTCGAATAAACGTTAAACCCCATTTCTCCACGCACATCGTTTGTTGACCTCTAGGTGAGACGAAACGGGAGAAAGCCCACGAGGTCAAAGAGAAAAGGTGGTGCCCTACACATGATTGCATTGTTGACAGAAAGATAAAGATGTCTTCGCAATTCGCTTACTATTTGTGAGATCTACTGACAGATAAAGTGGGGTTTAAAGTTTACTGTTCTGCTCCATTTGGGCTAAGGTACTTGAGGGAGACGGGGAGGGGAGGGGGGACGTCGACACAACACAAAAACTAAATAATTACGGTATTAACATATGGCTAAATTTTATGAGAGAGAGAGGTGGAGAGAGAGAGGGAGAGAGAGAGAGAGAGAGAGAGAGACTAGCAGTGGGCGGAAATCGGTGGACACAGGGAAAGACCCACGAGGTCAGGCCTGACGCCCTTCATTATAACTTATCATTCGCGTTTACCATATAACACTTTTTAAAATGAAGATGCAGGATGATGTAACTATTATTCGCTGTTGACAATAAACCCAACGGTAATCGATACTTGTGTCACAGATGTTAATTTATCAACCTAAAACATCTGGAATAACACTACTACTCGCCTTCTCTATTGGTAGGCAAAACAAATAAGATGCTATTCATTATGGGGTGATCATCTGAACCCCAGAGAGAGAGAGAGAGAGAGAGAGAGAGAGTGGGGGGGGTATCCACCATTATACAGTGTGCTAACAAGAGGGAAATTTTGCCCGGGCAACGGCACTACGGCCTACTCTTATAAATATATCGAATTCCTACTTCCAATGTTCACGCCAATCTATAGGCCCCTACACGGGACCTCGGTTTATCGTCCCATCCGAACGACTAGACAGCTGTGTCATTGTCAGGCTCTCTGTCCTACACCACTGACACTCAATGACAGGGGGAAACCACGTCGGAAAATCTCAACTGAATGAACTTTCTCGGCCAATGCAGGGATCGAACACGCGAACTCAAGAATAGCGAGCCAGCGTCTTGCCCACTTAGCCACCGCGGGATACCCTATCCATACGCTATCAGTATCACTCAGCTACGAGTAGGCTACGAGGGACATTTTGCCCGGACAGCGGCTTTACATACACGCCAACCAACTTGTACACGTGACCTCGATTTTTTCGTCCCCTCCGAATTATTAGTTTAAAAGCCACCAAACAATAGAAATGGCGACGAGTGTACGCTGGCCTTTCACCCGAGACAAAATGAACTTTTTATGAAGTACAAAAGCATTAGGCCTACAAAACGGTTGTATAAATGAACATAACGAAAACAGCGACTGGCTAGACCTTGGTTGGTATTAGATTATTGGTGATAAAAAGTGCACTCAATGACCCCAGTAGGATTATCTAAGCTTACGACTAGTTCGCTCTTCGTTAGCTGTGTGTCGTGTGTACATGTATACATAGCAATGTTCAGAGATGCTCCAAAATTTGACATTCTCCCTTCAGCTCGATTTCGTTCAATGAAATCCTCTGGTGTGTGAATAAATTTAACCGGCGAAGCATCCAGTTCATATGGATGAAGCCGAAAGCAAACTGAACTTAAACAATTCCATTCAATAATCAGGCCTTGCGCAACTGAAACATCAATTAAATTGCATGAACAACTCTACTTACCGGTTGATCTCGTCAGTCTTATAAGCCACTGAAACTGTCGTCTGCTATGACTGATTTCCGCCTGTAGCAAGAATCCGTATCGAGGCTGCTCGGCCTCAGTGTAAAAGCCATTTGGCGTGAACCAATTACACACAGCTCCTACATCGTACGATTCTTTCTGCGCATGCTCTGTGATCTCTCACCAGCTGTTGGAGACAATATCTACTGACGAGACAATTTTCACGGATATTTAAAAGAAGATTACATACGGATAGTGAAGTGAAATTAATATACATCACAAACAAAAACGAATTATGAAATATTTACATAAATTCCTTATGGTTCGTAAATGATCGGCTTTGAATATGTTAATTATTCAGTGTTTATATTAATTTAAACATTTTATTGCAAGTGTTTGGGCTAATAAAGACGGGCATGATACGTAATACAGTGTGCTATGAGGGAAATTTTGTCCGGACAGCGGCACTATGACCTATTCTTATATCGAATTCTAACTGCCAAGGGATCTTTTACGTGCACGCAAATATGTACAAGGGACCTCGGTTTTTTTGTATCATCCGAATGACTAGACAGCTGTCCTTATCAGACCCTCCTTCGCGCAAGCGAATTATTGAAATAAAATTAAATCATATGTTAGTCCCGAAATGACCTAGTTTGTGTCGAGTGGACGTTAAACCCCAACTCTCTCTCTCTCTCTCTCTCTCTCTGTTTCCATCTCGGCGAATTTCATTTGAACAGGCAATGTAAAATCAGTGAATTAGGTTAGCAATTGATCTCGTCATTAAAATATATCATGGATTTTTTTTAATATTTGAAGTGTATCTAAGCTGGTTATATGTGTAATTACTACTTATACGACCGGATATCTTGGAGTTGGTGATAAGTAAAAGTGTCAGAAATAAAACGAAATGTATTGTTAAAGTGGAAAATGATATTTATTATTCTTTAAATTATATATTATAATAAATGTAATTTTTGTGTACTGTATTATTGTTAAAGTGGAAAATAATATTTATTATTGTTTAAATTATATATTATGTTAAATGTAATTTTTTGATTATTGTATTATTGCTTTATTATTGTTTTAAGCGAGAATTTCATATTTTCTAAGAAAGTCAAAACATAATTATTTCTATGTCTTTTGCTCAATAGGTTATCAACTCACTATTATACGATCATGGGCATTATTTCCCACCCTTAAAAATCATTGACACAGGAAATAATAACACAATTACCTCCCTTGTTTTCCTGTTACCTCCATGGAATAGCTATGTTCAAACGTTTGAATTTGAAGCTGAAAATGATATTTTTGCCAATTTCTCAGCTGGCAATAGTGAATTATAGGATTAATAGGATTATTCTTTAACAAGGTAGGACTGTTTATGGATACCATCTATTTTAAGGCTTTATTTTAATAAATTTTAAAAATATAACTTAAAAATATCAAATTGTAACTTTCAATCATAAATTATATATATTATATAAGATGTAATTTTTTGATTACTGTATTATAGCTTTATTATTGTTTAAAGATACATTATGGGAGATTAGATAAAGAGTTGGCAGTTCTCACTATAATAGTTAAAAACTAGATAATGGAAAGGTTTATAATTTGCTGAAAATTTCATTCAAATTGATCCACTATGAACCGAGTATTTGGTGATTGCATTTTGGACCTAGCCTCGATCGTCATTACTAAAGTCGCTACGATAAAAAGCATTGTTTCGATTATCCACTTTTTTGATTTAATCAGAAGCGCCAGACTGGGTTCTAATCCAGTACATATCGCAGGCTAGCGACTCCATCGAGAGTTGATTATAGTCTGGATAAGTTAATTAATGTCTAATTGATAATTTATATAACATTTCAGGCCTAAAGAAAGACCTGCAATATAAGGCAGATTTAGCTCTTGCATAATGTATGTTTATATAATATTAAATGTTATTTATTGATTCATGTACTGTATTATTGCTCTATTATTCTTTAAAGAATATTTTAAATAAATTTAATTAATTGATTACTGTATTATTGCTTTATTATTGTTTAAATTTTATATCTATACTTATATTTGTGACTGTCGTTTGTCTGTCTGTCTGTCTGTCTGTCTGTTCGGGGTTGGTGGCTACACTAGGTCTGCCCCGAGTCTGAAATTTGGGGTATAGGTGTAGCTCGGACCGGGGAGTAACATAGGTCAGGTGGCGTTAGTCTACCACTTCCGGTTTTGGGGTTATGACCCCCGAGCGAAGCCATTAATTGATTACTGTATTATTGCTCTATTATTGTTTAAATTATATATTGTATAAAATGTAATTTATTGATTGCTGTATAATTGCTTTGTATAAAATGTAATTTATTAATTGCTGTATAATTGCTTTGTGTACCCTATTGTGTATATCTGTTTTGATATCATTAAAATAATGAGCAAGCTGTAATATTGTAAATAGAATAATTATTTATCATTATTCAATATCATTATATTGCATTATGTATTTATATTTCAAAACTAATTTATTAAACAATTTATCAAATTAAAACTATCCAGCAATATATTACATATTAAATTCTGTATAATTGCAGGGGGTTGGGTGGCCGAATGGTTAGTACGTGCGCGTTGTCTAATAAGGTCTGTCATTTAGTCAGCTGGCGTG